GTCATGGCGCCAATGAATTGACCGGGACCAAATTCTGATATCTCCACCAATTTTGAAAACTAAAAAGAAAGACCAATTTTTGGAAATCCCAGATTAGGAGAATATACAGAGAATGTTTAGCAGTTGAGCCATTTCGCAAAGGAACTCAGCGTAGATTGAAAACGATACACACGATTCTTATTTCTTTTGAAAGCCTGTGCGGTACATCTATAAAATTTACATTTGTGATTAAAGTCTCCTCTTTTCCGGGTAACCCTGTAAAATCATAGATTAATCATACAGTTTGGTTGTCGTTTATATCAATACTAGCCTTAGCCATCTTCTAAATTAATTGTGAACATGTTGTCTTTGTGTACATTGTAAAACAAAACAAAAATGATTCGCGGATTTTCACAAAAAATTTTGTGGATTTTCAAATTTTTCAAAAATTTAATGAAGATCGAATTTTGATGGAGACAAATATTTAAAATTTCAATCATTCATAAACCTTCCCTGGGGTCCCTAGATGTCCCACAACAAATTTGGGCCCGATCGGTTCAGCCGTTTTGACGTTTATTGGATACAAACAGACAGACAGACAGACAAGCAGACAGACAAGCCAAATTTATATATAGATAATGAAGACGATTTTTATATTTAAGTTTTTATTTCTAAACAGCTTTTTTCAACTTACAATATTACAAAAAAAACAAAGAGAAGTTGTTTATTGAGAGCTTCTCTTTGCTTCCATGTTTATGTGTTATTAGAAAATTTAAATCGAAATTTGTCTTTATTGTATTGATATAAACGACGACGACTGTAATTAAACATTTGTTGGGTAAAAATTGAAATAAGAAGAATGTTTTCACAATTTGTAAGTAAAGGTATCCAACAGTGTTTTCTTGATTGATGACTTAAAGGCGCTTAGACGCACCCTTTTAGCACGCTACCTCTCTGCTCTATTCTAGTTGATGGAGCTAACGAATTGACTCTTCAAAGGGAGTGGTTTATTAAAGATGGGGGGGGGTGGATGGGGTATTTTGGTTTTGTTCTGTAAGCTAAACACCAGTTTCTTTTGGGTTTTGCATATTATATATTATTTTCTGCTTTATACAGGGTGTCCCAATAAACATAGGAATTAAGTGACGAATTCGATATCGTCTTTTTAAATAATTCTTTGATTTAGTATAGTGATGCCTACTGAGAAAGCTGTAATCTGTAAGAGTTTCGTCTGCTATGTTCACATTTTGTTTGTTTATGTTTTGACTNTTTTCATAAAATAAACTCTAGCAGACATAATAATATTATGGCTTTTGAAATTAGGCATTACAATGCTAATTCATAATTCAAAGACGATATCGAATTCGTAACTGAATTCCCATGTTTTTTTTGGGACACCCTGTATATCACAGATTTAGAAGTTGCACTAATTTTGAATATGAGTTTTTTGAATATTCAGTTTCAAGTACAGAATAGTGTTATCAACAACTGACTGAGTCGACTGTACGGGATTTCTTTATTCCTCCACCTTAAGTTTAACAGTGCTGCAACTTATCATAAAGATGAACAAGAAACAATATTAAATAAACTTCAAGTTTTAGTGAATAATGAATTGGACTTTTAGATGAAATCTAAAATATGATATATTATAGTTTGTTCTGTATACTCATGAAAGTTTAAATTTAGTTTGAAAAATTATGTTATATGTTCGCATACGCAGGGAAACCGATGAAAACCACACAGACAGATAGGTAAATAGATAGATAGATAGATATTTAGGCAGGGATGGTTTGGTCCCAGCCTGCCCAATAGTAAGGTAGTGGATGCAGATACCTGGAGAGAGGAGAGAGAGGAGAACCTGACAGCTTCAGGTCTTTAGTTCGCTCCGGGTACCACCTAGAGTAGGCTCAGAGAATGAACCAGAATGGGATTATCTTCATAACGTTGTTAGGTTTCGGATTACTGGCTCCGGCCAGCTCAGATCTTACTCCGGAGAAGTGGGAACCAAGGAACCTTGGAGATCAATCCTGGAGAACTATCTCTAACAGGTGAACCTTGGGCAGATTTTACTGTTTATACTTTTATCTTGCAATAAAACCAACCCAGGAAAAAAAACCGTTTGTTTACATAAACAATTGTTTAATTGGAAGAATGTGAAAGTGATACCTTTTAATAAAAACTTTTAATAAGATCAAAATCCGATTGGTTTAACCTTTTTAATAATGTACATACTTATATACCATGAACAAGAATATTTCAATACTTTACTTGAGGGCGTCATATAGGCATAATCAGTATAAACGCAAGAATGCCACAAGATCAAACATCAAATAATCAAAACTCAGGAAAACTTCAAAAATTTGTGCGCTCAGCAGTTCAGGAACATAAGCTATTATAAACAAATTAAAGTATATATACCATGAACAAGAATTTTTCAATACTTTACTGGAATGCTTCATAGGCATACTCAAAATAAACGCAAGAATACCATCAAACATCAAATAAACCAAAAACTTCAAAAATTTGTGACCTGAGCAGTTAGGGACATTAGCTATTTTAAACAAATTAAAGCATCTTTCTCATGTTCATGCAATAAATATTGTTCTAAATATCAGTAAATATTAAAAAAAAAATATAAATATTTAAAAACGATGCAATAGTAATAGCATCACCAACTACGATCACAAACCACCACATTTCTCTCCAAACTTTTTTTCCTCCACCGCCCCCATATTCAAGCAAGGTTTCTCTATTAAGTGAAGCATTATGGTTTTAAAACAATGAAGGAACCTGACAAAATTCAACATTTTTTAATCGAGAGGTTTACAGGAGGGTATCGATGTGAATTTTACATGAGTGTTTACTTGATATTTAAACGGCAGTTCAGTTATGTTCGTCTTTTTGTTCAGATTTCTAAGCAATTAGGTTATTTCAGACTGAATTCGAAGAATCTGTCCGTATCTAATTGTAAATACAAAATGACGAATAGAATAACGAAAGACAAAAGATTCCAGAGGAAATGTAGAAAAGTGATTTGTAAAAAAAGATCGGAAAATACTTGAGCAACTACAAAACTAGCTGACAGAAGTTGCAAATGAGAATTTTAAACGATATAGAAAGATAAAAAATATAGAAAGATGAAAGACATAGAAAGATAAAAGATATAGAAAGATTTAAGACATTGAAAGATAAATGATACAGAAATAAATAAGATATAGAAAGATAAATTTAATTGAAAATAAAATACATTGAAAGATAAACGATATAGAAAGATAAAAGATATAGAAAGATATAAGACATTGAAAGATTATAGATATAGAAAGATATATTAGATTGAAAATAAATTACATTTAAAGATAAAAGATATAGAAAGATAAAAGATATAGAAATATATAAGACATTGATAGATAAACGATAAATGTTGATATAAGACATTGAAAGATAAACGATATAGAAAGATAAAAAACCATAGAAAGAAGAAAGAGATGAAAAATACAATTGAGATACGAAATAAAAGGTAGAAGAAGGAAAGAGATGGAGAAAGATAGATAAAAGTGATATAAAAATAAAGAACCACAGACTCATACCAGATATATATAGAAATAGACGAAAAAAAGGTTTGTGCATACATAATACAATGCATAAAGTATAAGAGAGATAATGAGGCTAAGAATAAATATTTCAGGGTTGAGTTGAAGGAGAGTATTGACTCCAAGGTTGGATTTATCTCCGTCCTGGTGGATAACGGGACGGAATATCTTCATCTAGGTAGGTCGTACACCACACATTCTTATTAATTCATTAACATCATGATAAATTGATTCAATCCAACCCATGATATAATCAATCACTTATCATAAATGGATCTTATAAACATAATTATTCATCAATTCTTATATTGAATGTGATTAACTAATTGAAAGATCAGAAGTAATATGGAATATGGAAGGCTAGTGCTGAACATTTTCCTAAAATAAATTCCTGCTTTTACGCTCTTACAAAATGCATGCATAATACGTGACACAACGAAATGATATCCAAATTTGAAGTTGGACAATGGGGAATATCATTAATCCCAAACTAGAAAAGTCCGTTGGAAAATCTTTGAGCGGATTAATTGATATGTTTGTGACATTAGACTTTTTGCATAAATGATCCTAGCATCGTGAAATATTGATTGTAAAATCTTTTTTTTTAAATAATCACAAACATTTTTGTTTTGATTGTTTTATTTGCTAGGAGGAGATATAAACTCTTTTTTACCAATAGTATCCAACCCTGCAGATTCTACTCCAACATCAGATCTAACCCTGGAGCAACTCATCAAACTCATCCTAGAAGATCCAACCTCGGATACAGGTAAACCTATCCTAGAGGATCCAACCTTGGATACAGCTAAACCTATCCTAGAGGATCCAACCTTGGATAAGGTAAACCTATCCTAGAGGATACAACCTTGGATACAGGTAAACCTATCCTAGAAGATCCATCCTCGGATACAGGTAAACCTATCCTAGAGGATCCAACCTCAGATACAGGTAAACCTATCCTAGGGGATCCATCCTCAAATACAGGTAATCATATCCTAGAAGATTCATCCTCGGATACAGGTAAACCTATCCTAGAGCATCCAACCTCAGATACAGGTAAACCTATCCTAGAGGATCCAACCTTGGATACAGGTAAACCTATCCTAGAAATTCATCCTCGGATACAGGTAAATCTATCCTAGAAGATCCATCCTCGGATACAGGTAAACCTATCCTAGAGGATCCAACCTTGGATACAGGTAAACCTATCCTAGAAATCCATCCTCGGATACAGATAAACCTATCCTAGAAGATCCATCCTCGGATACAGGTAAACCTATCCTAGAGGATCCAACCTCAGATACAGGTAAACCTATCCAAGAGGATCCAACCTCAGATACAGGTAAACCTATCCTAGAGGATCCAACCTCAGATACAGGTAAACCTATCCTAGAAGATACAACCTTGGATACAGGTAAACCTGAGGATACAACCTTGGATACAATCCCGGATACAGGTAAACCTATCCTATTGATTATTTTCAATTGTGATTTTTTTCTTAAATGACTTTCTGATTTAGAAACAAAGGAGTAAATGATCAAAATTCAACTATTTTCAATCTAGTAAACCGACGATTTACATTATTAATCAGATAAATGGTTAAAGGGTAGCGTTTCAATCGGACATCCTCCTCTTTTTTTAATAAAAAACTTCTTTAAATTATTTTCAAAACCGTTCTTTTAAAAGCCAAAAAAAGGAATATAGAACTAGAATATATCGATAGAAATAAAAAAATATTAATCCTTTCCTTAGCACTGAGGCTATATGTGTGTTGAAATTAAATTATCGATGTTAATTAAGAATAAGATTAAATCTTGTAAAATGCATAATTCAAACCACAATAATTTTATATTAAACTTTCTTTTCTACTTAAACTCCTACCTAAACTCCTAAAATGTATTATCTATTTAGTTTACTTAATAAGGAAGCTGTTTGTTTTAAACCAATTCTCGCTGTAACGAATTGGGCTTTTTGGATGGACACACAACCTTAAAAAAAGAATTTATCATTTATTTATTAAAAATGCATATTTAAATGTTTAGGATTACATCTCAAATTTGCATCTAAAGATGTCATATCATCGTCCCTTGATGTCCTTAAATCCGTCCTGACGTCTCCAAATCAGTCCTCAGCCAGACCTATCCTCGTGGAGTCGACTGTACTAATATCTGATCCTAGATCAACGGAACCTATTTCAGATCCAACCTCGTTCATTAAACAAGTTTCTCAGGTATAGATCCATTAATAAATTATATAAGAAACGACTGCTGATCAGTATAAAATTGTACAATCCTCAGGCCCATCTTTGCACGACAAATCCTTACAAGAAGCGGCATTCTTTAGTAACTTTTAGTTAAAAAAACATTTTCGTCAAATTGTCAAAGAAATGAAAAAGATAGTTTTTAAAAACTCCCAGCACTATCCATAGAAGTTATGAATACTATACGAAGGAAAAACACCTTTTTTATTTTAAATTTTAAAGATGAATTTACTTGAAAATTGTCTCAGGCTCCCGGGTTGATCCCTGTCCTGGGTTGGGGAACCTATCATGGGATGGATAAAGTCTGGAATAAGCTGAAGGAAGATGATATCCTGCTCCAGTTCCAGGCTATCCGTATCATTCAGATGGTTCAGGATCTGTTCCTCTACCCGGAGAAGATAAAGGATCAAGATGTCAGATTTCTCGATCTTCTGCTCAAACGTAAAGAGCGGAGTAACCCAACCTCGTTCACAGTTCTAGCTTTAGCACAACTCCTTGATGCTATCGAGTCTAACGGACACCATGAGCTAGAGAAGGATCCTTATGTTCCCAGAAGAGCGTTTAGACCACCCAGAACTAATCCTATCCGTGAAATTCTGCCCGACTACTATCTCCAGTCCTCGGGATACACCAAGGAGGACGTGGAAAAGATGCTCTCCTTGACGGAGGGGATCGACAGGGTTGGGTTTGCTCTTAGAGCAGGTTTGGTCCAGAATACTGAATCTGTTGAGCAGGTTTCAAGATTACTCGTCGGGTATCCGAACCGGTTTCTGATTGTTTCCGCGAAACCTCTAGACAAGGACGGACGGGAGAGTATCAAGGGTCTATTAAACAAGGTTGGGACGGATCGTGTACTGATTGAGCTATCGGAGCAGAACTCTGAAATCATGAGTAGAATACCACAACCAAAGGAACCTCGGAGCAGTTCAAGCTCTTCAGTCAAAATAAATTCATCAATTATATTTCATGTATTCAATATTATCATATTTTTTAGTTTGAAAAATACAACTTAATTTTATTGTACTTTATTTGTTATAAATCAATTAATTAACTGAAATTCTAATGTTCTAATCCTTATATCTTTGCAACCTGCAGGGTGATAATGTATCAAGATCTTAAAAATAGCTTAAATGATATCAAATTATTGAATAACTTGGATGGAAAAACATGTAAATATTATGATATTGATGAATTTCAAACCAAATTCAAATGATTTCTCTGTGTTTTCTTTAAATATTCGTAGCTATACCTGGATATGAAACTATTGGGGAAGGAGTAGGATCATACTTTGAAGATAAACTTTCTAAATCACACTTTATCAAAATAAAAACTGGAAAAACTGATTTCAAAATAATTGGAAATATTTATCGGCCTCCAGGATCAAATATAACTGTTTTCTTAGATAAATTACAAGAAATTTTAAAAATTATTTCTCTTGATCAATTATTATCCAAAGCTGAAGAAGTAATATTGATGGGAGGTTTTAATATTAATCTTCTTAATCATGATAACCATGTTGGAACTTCTAATTATTTGAATATTCTGCTTAATTTTGGTCAACTTCCTCTTATCCCACTTCCTTCTAGAGTAACTGATCACTCAATCTCTTTAACAGATCATGTTTTATCAAATACAAAGAACAAAGAACAAATTGAGAACGGGTTAGTTTAGTCTTCCTTATCTGATCATTATCCTGTTTTTTTAATTAATTTGAGTTTGTGGCTAAAACTTAATACCTCCATTTTGTTTAGAAAAAATATGCCTTTTGATGATCAACAATACAACTTAAAGATTGGGGACGAAATTATCGAAAGAATAGGGTTAGGTTGTAAAGAAAAGTATTTTAAATTTGTAGGAGTTAGATTTGATGAGTTTCTAAAATGGAATTTTTTACTAGACCACATATGTACTAAAATTTCAAGTGCGATATTTGCACTAAGAAATGTAAAAAATATCCTTCCTTTAAGAATTAGGAAGTAAATATATGATAGTCTTATTAAATGTCAACTAGAGTATGGTATTTTATCTTGGGGTCCTTCAGTAAATAGTAGATTAGGTAAATTATCAACAATACAGAAAAAAGCTCTGCGAGTTCTAGCTGATAAAGGTTATGCTGCACACGCAGATCCACTTTTTCACAAACTTGAAATTCTAAAAATAAAAACATGATCAAATTTAATTCTGCTATTTTTATGGAAAACATTCATTATCTTTTAACGTAGTGTTCATAAGTTATAAATTAGAATTAGTTTATAATAAGTATCTTAAAAGATTTAATTACTACGGTTTTTCTTCCAAGGACCTGGAACTCTATTACATTGAAAAAAAATCCCTAGACTCCATAACAAGTTTTAAAACAAGTTGAAATAAAAGGTTTCTTGAAGAAGATTATTATGTTATTAAAACATAAAAAAATAAAACATAACAGATTATACATTTTGTGTGCTGGGTTGTCCCCCCCCCCCTAATACGATTTTTCTCTCTATTCTTCAATACCTTTCCTCTATCTACTCCT